TAGCATAAGCGCGTTTGTAATTTTGGAAGATTGCTTGAAAACTTTTAAATGGAAGGGCAGTCAGGTCAACTGTGCGGCCGCTTCATGAAATGGAATGACTGTCTTTTCCCAGAATGATGTGAATGATAAGCAGTCGGCTGTGAAGATGAAGATGTTTGGGAAGCTTACTCGAGATACCTTTGAATGGCACCCTGACAAGCTCCTATGTAAGAGGTTTAATGTCCCTGACCCTTATCCAGAGTAAGTTGGGTAAACCTGCCCTTTCATCAGTACTTATTCCCTCATATTAGAGCCAATGTTCTCCTTACATACTCATAAATTCCCTTTTTCTAGATGAACTTACTTGTAAATGCCTAGAGTGCCAAATTGTGCAGTTTAACCTCCATTAATTTTTTACTAAAAAAATAAACATCCAAATAGCAAACTTATTCTATATTGAAGATATGAAACCCATATATGTCAAGTTTTAAAAACTTAATGCTTGTTTAACTTGCCACCTTTTCAATGGTGCACATACAGTTTACATTTAAAATGTTACTTATGTTTTCTAATTCTTTATATACGTTTAGCATCTTCTTATTTGATTATAAACACCGCAAGAAAGCATATGCAGTTGAATCTGAGACTTTGTCAGAAAATTTTGGTATAGAGATGACCCTTGAACAATGCAGGAGTTAGGGGTACCGACCCCCTGTGCAGTAAAAAATGCACATATACCTTTTGACTCCCCCCAAACTTACGTATTTTCCCATGTGTAAGATGCACCCTTTTTCGAAAAATTTGGGGTCTAAAAACTGGGTACATCTTATACAGTGGTTGTAGAATTTTTTTACTTGCATTTCCCACTTTTTTCACGCTTGTTTTTGCGCTCATACACCACTGTATAATAAGACGCACCCAGTTTTTAGACCCAACATTTTTCAAAAAAGGGTGCATCTTATACATGTGGAAATATGGTAACTATTAATAATACTGTTAACTAGAGCTTTACTAGTAACATAAAGAGTCAATTAACACATTATTTTATATGGTATATGTATTATATACTGTATTCTTATAATAAAGTAAGCCTGAGAAAAAAATGTTATTAAGAAAATCATAAGGGAGAGAATACATTTACAATATTTATTGAAAAAAATCTGCATATAAGTGGACCCACACATTTCAAACTCATGCTGTTCAAGGGTCAACTGTATTTTTAGCAGTGGAACTTTTCCTTAATAGAAATCCATTTTCAAAGTTAAATTCTAGCTCTTACTATAATAAGGAAAAAATTAATAGGTCCTACAGTCATTTATACAGAATTTATAATGGTATAAATTCTTAAACTGCTTTGAGAAGTGAAAACATCTTAGAGGATCTCTTCAGCCAAGTAGAAGAGCTACTGGTGAAAAACACGAGATGGAAAGCTTTGATATAGAAATTGGATTTGATTCTCACAGTGGTTATTGAAATTATATTTATATGTTTTTCTTTTCAACCCTCAGTTCAACTTTAGTTGGCTTACCAAGAGTGAAACGTGACAAATACTCCGTCTTCAACTTTCTGGCGCTCCCAGAGACAGCTTCCTTGCCCACAACTCAAGAATCAAGTGCAAAAGTACCACAGCTCCAAGGCCCTGACAGTGAGTAGGGCTTCCTCGGGTCCATGTGCTCACCATGGCCTCAACCCCTGGCCTGTTAGGGAGACAGAAATAAAGGGTCATCTACTCCTAAAGATACATGTAGTACGAACTCACCCTCCATTTAGAGAATTGCTCATGTGGCGACCTTAGCCCATGTTGTCATGGTCCCGATGTATCCTGTATCAGGTGGGGACTCTGCCTTAGCACCTGCCACATCCTCAGCACTTGGCACCGTGCCCAGCCAATTCACTGATGCTCTTGAATGAATTCAAGAGCTGTAATGAAAAACTTGTCTTTTGCTTGCTAGCTGATGTTATGCCTCTGTCCTACCTTTCAGAATCCAGAAAACCATCCAGATGGGACGCATCTAAACAAGAAAAGAAAGAGGATTCCATCAGTGAATTCTTAAGTTTGGCTAGATCAAAAGTTGGTCCACCTCAACAAGAGTCCAGTCCATTAGTAAACAAAGAGGGAGACCAAGTGAAGGAATCACTCTCAGATAAGGTATTTGGGGCTTCCAGGTTCTCCTTGCCACGCTGGCTGTGGCCTTTACCTTTCTCTGTGGTGAAGCTTTCTCATTGCTCGATAGCAGGGGCTCGTACACTTGTGGTATGAAGAGTCAGGTATTAAATATCACGCGGGCCATAGTTTCTATCACAACTATTTAGCTCTGCTGTTGAGTGTGAAAGGAACCCCTACATTAAAATTAACCTTTTTTTGATGTACAGTTTAATGAGTTTTTACACAAATATATTACAGATACATGTAATCATTACCACAATCAGAATGCATCATGGTACCCCACCCCCCCAAAAAAAACCTCCTTCATGCTGTCCCTTTGTTGTCATATCCTCTCTTCACCCCAAGCCCCAGTCAACCATTGATCTCTATCTCTATAGTTTTGCTCTTTCTAGAATTTT